TTTGCTTCAAAGTTGTGTAATGATCTATAACTTACCCAGTGGAAGTTTTAAAAAGTCTAGAGAATAGGTTATGGGGAAAGCATCAATTATTTTTACATTTAGGGCCCTGTTATAAAATTTACTCATGACTGGAAACTGTTATAAGTGAAACTTCACATCTATCAATAGAAGACAATATCTTTAGCGCAGGGTTGAATTGTGGACTTCTTGGTGCTCTCTGAGCTTGGTCGTTTTCTTGAAAATATTTCATTACCCAGCTAGATAACAACTTCAGTGCTACAAGGAAATGGGATTTGCTTTCTGTTTATATACAATATCTTTAGCGCAGGGTTGAATTGTGGACTTCTTGGTGCTCTCTGAGCTTGGTCGTTTTCTTGAAAATATTTCATTACCCAGCTAGATAACAACTTCAGTGCTACAAGGAAATGGGATTTGCTTTCTGTTTATATACAGAAAGCTTGCCTGCCATTGTTGGTGGGAATGTTGTTTTCTCCTTGGTAGTTCCTTGATTAGGCTGTTGTTTACTGCTTGATTGTTTGTCTGCTATTGCTCCTGGTGTTAATCCCTGTTGTACCAAACAGGGATCCCAACATATAGCTAAAGAACTTACAAAAAAGCTTGGACATCTCATAGAGGGGAGCAAATATTCTATCAACTGTCCACTACAGTGCCTCCAGAAAATAAAAAAAAAACCTAGTAATACAAGATAAGATTATGATTTCATTCAATGTCACAGCACTCTTTACATGCATAAATCATGAACTAGCAAAAGAATCCATGGTAGCTGTACTACACAATACATCCAACCAAACTAAAGACACTCACATTGCACTCAGAAAGTATTCAGATCCCCCTTCATTTTTTTTCAATTTTGTTATGCTGCAGCCAGATACTACAGCTGTTGAAATTCATTTTTTTCTCTCATTAATCTACACTCAGTACCCCATAATGACAAAGTGAAAACAGAATGTTACAAATGTCTGTAAATTTATTAAAAAGGAAAAACTGAAATATCACATTGGCATAAGTATTCAGACCCCTCACTCAGTACTTTGTTGAAGCACTTTAGCAGCAATGACAGCCTCCAATCTTTTGGGGTATGATGTGACAAGTTTTGCACACCTGGATTGGGGGATTTTCTGCCATTCTTTCTTACCGTTCCTCTCAAGCTCAGTCAGGTTGGATGTCAACTCAGTGGACAGCCATTTTCAGGTCTCTCCAGGGATGTTCAATAGGGTTCAAGTCAGGGCTCTGGCTGGACCATTCTAGGATATTCACAGAATTGTCCCTAAGCCACTTCTATGTTGTCTCTGCTGTGTGCTTAGGATTGCTGTCATGTTGGAAAGTGAACCTTCAGCCCAGTCTGAGGTCTTGAGCACTGTGGAACAGGTTTTCATTGAGGATATCCTTTATTTTGCTCCATTCAGCTTTCTCTCAATTCTGATCAGTCTCCCAATCCCTGCTGCTGAAAAACACCCCCATAGCATGTTGCTGCCACCACCATGCTTCACTGTTGGGATGATATTGGGCAGGTAATGAGTGGTGCCTGGTTTCCTCCAGACATAATGTTTAGAATTGAGCCCAAACAGTTCAATCTTGGTTTCATCAGACCAGAGAATCTTGTTCCCCACAGTCAATAGTCCTTCAGGTGCTTTTTTGCAAACTCCAAGAGGGCTTTCATGTGTTTTGCAGTAAGGAGAGGCTTCCATCTAGCCAATCTGCCATAAAGCTCAGATCAGTGGAGGGCTGCAATGATGGTTGGAACTCATCTCCACACAGGATTTCTGGAGCTCAGTCAGAGTGAATGTCTATGGAGATTCTCAGTTATCCAGGTCATGGTTGTCCCAAAGATGCTTTTTTCATGAGGCAACTGGACTTTTTTGTTTTTCTTGAAGATGTTTCACTTCTCATCCAAGAAGCTTCCAGTCAGAGCTGAAGACACTTCTTGGATGAGAAGCGAAATGTCTTCAAGAAAAACAAGAAAGTCCAGTTGCCTCGTGAAAAAAAGCATCTTTGGATCAGTTAGAGTGACCATCAGGTTCTTGGTCACCTCTGTTAAAGAGGCCCTTCTCCCCTGATTGCTCAGTTTGACCAGGCAATCAGCTCTTGGAAGAGTCCTGGTTGTGCCAAACATCTTCCATTTGAGAGTTATGGAGGCCACTGTGATTTTAGGAACCTTCAGTGCAGCAGAAATTTTATTATAGTATTCTCCAGATACGTGCCTTGCAATAATCCTATCTCTGAGCTCTGCAGGCAGTTCCTTTGACCTCATGACTTTTGCTGTGATATAGTATGCATTGTCAGCTGTGAGCCCTTCTATAGAGAGGTCTGTGCCTTTCCAAATCATGTCCAATCAATTTAATTTACCACAAGTCAACTCCAATCAAGGTGTAGAAACATGTCAGCAAAGATCAAGAGAAATGGAAGGCACTGGAGCTAAATTTCAAGTGTTGTTGCAAAGGATCTGAATACTTATGCCAATGTGATATTTCAGTTTTTTTGTTTTTAATAAATTTGTAGACATTTCTAAAATTCTACACTTTGTCATTATGGGGTACCAAGTGTAGATTAATGAGAAAAAAAATGAATTTCAACAACTATAGAATCAGGCTAAAATATAACAAAATTGACAAAAGTGAAGGGGGGTCTGAATACTTTCTGAATGCATTGTAAGTCCAAAATACCCAGAATAATGTATCATGGGAGCCCATCAATCTTTGCCTTAGTACCTACATTCAATTTGATGGACAGATATATCAATAAATCCGAGGAACACCCATGAGATCACTTTCTCAGGACTCGTAGAAACTGTAATGCAGTGTTTAGAAAGTATAACACTCCCGTGGATATAACTAAAAGTATGGATCTGTTATGTAGATGTCACCTTTGTCATAATAAAAAAGGAACAATTAGAGAAGAAACATAAAATAACATCTTCAAAGGAATAAAACTCACAAAGGAAGAAGAAAACAACAACACATTTCCCTTCATGGATATCCTCATCAGCAGAGGAAATGGTAGCAAATTAGAAACACAAGTCTGTCAAAAAACCAACCGCACTAACCAAATACCTCCACTACCAAATACCAACAAGAGGAGCTGTGTAAGAACATTATTCAGAGGAGCACAAATGCACTGCAACTACCCAGAACACCAAAAAAAGGAAACATCACCTATACCTCTTCTAGCAAAATGAATATCCACTTAGGTTTATCAAAAAATGCCTAACCATTAACCTATTACAGCAGAACCAAAATAAGTTATGAAAAGGATAGCATTCCCCATACTTCAAAAACATCTCAGAAACAACCAACAGACTATTGCAACCACATGGCATCACTGCAGTACATTAACTAAAGCCCTCCAAAATATCTTAAGTAAACCAAAAAAACACAGTAGCCCAAGAGGAAAAAACAGGGTTCATCTACTATACAGTGTGAGGTCTATAACAGTTACTCTATACTGGCTGAGGAATTCTCGGAGTTGAAGTCCACAAGTCATAAAAGGGCCTGGTTTGCAGACCCCTGTTCTATACAGACAAGCAGAAGACTAACAGAGGACATCCATGAACACCAATTAGCAATCAGAAGACACAATGAAAATGCCTTAATTTGGACAGACTTAACCATGGTTTTAGCTGGGAAGCTGTGAGCATACTAGACCAAGCTAAATCCAAAAACATTAGGGAATTGCTAAAAGCTTGGTATTCAGACAGATCAACTGTGAACAAAATCGTAGAGATAAACCAGATTTAGACAACTTTCAAAAGAGACAATAAAAAAACCTAAAAAGGAAACAAAAAGATCAGAACACCTCCTTGCCAGCAATCAACACCCAGATAAGCAGGGATTGATACCAGAATCAACACCAATCAAGCAGTAAACAACAGCCTAATCAAGGAACTACCAAGGAGAAATCCGACCCCCACCAACACTGACTGGACAAGTTACTGTATATAGACAGCAAACCTCACACTCTTCTCGCACTGAAGATGTTACTACTGAATAATGAAGCATCTGCAAGAAAACAAACAAGCTCAGAGAGAACCAAGGATTCCACTTCTTCGCACTATTGCTATATGAGTACTTCTGCCAAAACCGGATTGAAAAAATCTGGATGAACACAAGATGGCAGCAATTAATTAGAGATTTTTTTTATCCCCTTGTTGCTATCTAGGCGTTAGTGGAAGCTAGTTGTCATAGCTCCATAAAGTGGTGGTAAACCAAGTATACAAGGTAGGTAAGGTGACATTTCATGCCCCGTTGAGTGACAATTATTCAGCTAGGGTGATACAAATTTAATTTGTAAGTATGAATCATTGCACCTGTCTGACTTCCATATTAATTTTTACTGAAACCAAAGTTACTTGCCTACATGTAGCCAATTGAAAGAGTTTTAAATGGTAGAAGTGCCTTCCCTAGGCCAGTAGCTAAGGGCCAGTACTGGTTAAGGAACCAGGCTAGAAACCCAGAGATTATAGATTCTAGTCCCATATTTGGTAGAAAACTAGACCCATGACCATAGCAGTAGTTCCTTTCAGTCCTAGGAAGAAGGTAAACCACTTCCAAAAATCCTGCCAAGAAAACTGCAGGGACTAATTCAGGTAGCTACCAACACTGACTTGAAGGCAACCCTCCCAAAAAGCCACTAGATGTGCCCAAGATTCTGGTCTTTTGTTGCAAATTTGTGCCTTGATTGCCTCTACAGTCCTCACCTCCAGGTCCTCTCCCTCCCACCCTCCCTGCACCTTTGTTCATGAGGGAAAGGGGGAACCTCTGAAACCCGTAAAATTGCACCTGTTTGATATACACCTTCATCTCCATTTTGTGGCTCCCATGCATGCTTACAAACCTGCTTCTACCATGAGGCTACCCAAAAGCCGCCATTTACTTCAAGCAAGCGCATTATTATTTAACACAGTTATATGCAAAATGCTTACAAACCTGTCTTATATAGAGAATAGTAACTCTGTCTCTTCCTTCCTTTATTTTTTTATATAGCACTCCTCTTGACTCAAGGTAAGTCATTTTTCCCCTTTTCTCCCTCCCCCCTTCCTTTTCTCTATTTGGATTTCTGCTCTGTCCTTTTCTTGTCTACGCCTAGATTCTAAATGTTGTCTTTCATTTGGAATGACTTCATACTTCAATGATTTCACCTCAACATTTAGAACCAATGCCGTTGTTGAGAATAACATGAACCTGAGTCCCTTGCTACCATGTAAGGAAAGGGGTTCAGCTGGAGAGAAAGAACCGAAGGTCATTGGAACTGAGGTTGCATCCCTGTTCTCTGCACCCTTGAAGGAATCTGCCACGTGCCAGAGTGAACCAGTAGTACAAGTTCATTTTGACAGAGGAATGTGAACATATGCAGATATGCAGACAAGGAGAGCGGTTTCAGCCTTCTCATTCTGACTCAGCAAGAGGAACGCAGAATGATGGTATATCATTTCAAAGGCATCCACAGGAATTGATATTTAAACCCAAACAATGAAAGCAGCACCTCACCATTGTGCTGCACACACTCTATGTTTGTGCAGGATAAGATAACTTTTATTGTCATTTTTTACTGTGAGCACACTGGTACACATTAAAAATGAAATTCTATTGCCTGCTCTCAAGAGAAAATATATATCTACCCATACACATACTGTACATAACATACATATACACATGCTATATACATGCATACATACGTCTACACCAGTGGTTCTCAACCTTTCTAATGCCGCGACCCCATAATACAGTTCCCCATGTTGTGGTAACCCCCAGCCACTTATACATCACTGGGTGCCAGGGGCATGGCCAAAGAAAAGGGGAAAAAAATGGCGGACAGCCTTGTTTGGCGACCCCCATGAAATGGTCGTTCGACCTCAAATGGGGTCCCGACCCACAGGTTGAGAACCACTGATCTACACACACACACACACAACACACACATATATATATATATATATGTTTTCTGAGGTTTTCGCGGGTGTTTGTATGTAGGTCTTTGGTTATTCGGGTTTTCTCCCACGTAAAATTGGAAGTGTCTTGGCAACGTTTCGACAAAGTCTCATTCGTCATCTTCAGGCTGGGGCTTTCGGCTTCGTGCTCCTAGAAGCACGAAGCCGAAAGCACCAGCCTAGAAGCACGAAGCCGAAAGCACCAGCCTGAAGATGACGAATGAGACTTTGTCGAAACGTTGCCAAGACACTTCCAATTTTACGTAGGAGAAAACCCGAATAACCAAAGACCAACCTACATACATACATACATACATACATACATACATACATACAAATGTATACGTATACATATATGTATATGTGTGTGTATATATATTGTGGTTCACAAGTTTGATACTATATCGAACAAAACTGTGATTGAATCTAGATGTTCTGCTTTGGATACCACAAAGCCTCCCTCTCAGAAGGTAGCAAGGAAAACAGGTCATAATGCTTTTACAAAAGGGGCAGGACTTGAAATGCAATGATACTTTTATCATTTGCTCGACTCCCCCTGGATATTTGTGCATTATTTTCTTTGTATGAGATTGTAAAAGGTGGATCTTGTCAAGTGCAAACAACTAGAACCATTCATGGATAGGCCCAAATAGATATTCTATTGCTGATCACCTATATTACAAGAATCTCACCAGACTATCTGCCTTCCCTTGGGAAATGCCATATAAACAGTTAAGAATTTGATTCCAGACATTTCGTCCTCTGAACAGACTCTAAACTGGAATTTCTCTTTATTCTCGTAGAGAGACCCCTCCCCCTTCAGCCATTGGTTCTACCTCAGGACTGGAGTAAACCAATTAGGAATAATCATTACTAGCCTTGAGACAGTGGTCCAAAAAGATTGCTTTGATAATGGTTGGTCTTCTTCAATCATATAGTTTCCCTCCAGTTGTGTTGGAGTACACCTTTCATAATCTTCCCCATATAGAAATTGTAGTTAAGTAAATCAGGAAAGCTGCCTTGAACATTTATTTATTTGATTCATATCCTGCCTTTATTTGTACAACTCAGCATACATAATGTTCCTTCCTTGTATTTTCCCCACAACAAAATCTTCCATAAAATCTATGTCAGTTAAACATGTCTGAAGTTACGGGGCCACCACCTTTTCAATTACCTTTTGATTCAAAATTTTTATTAATTTATCAAAATATAAAATACAGAAATACAAAGAAAAAATAAAATAATGGAAAAGTAGGGAAGGAGAAGGGAAAGAGGAAAAAGGGGGGGGGAAGGGGAAAAGAAAAAGACAAGCATTGAAACTTTGATTTAAGTTTTTGCAGATTAGCTAGATTTGTTATTATAGAAATGGCTAGTATGTATTATTATATAAAAGTAAAAAAATTGAGGTCGTATGTTATTACCTTATTCTACTGCACCAAAAAGAGTTGAAGTCAATACTAAATTGCCTTTCTAAGAAATGGAATATTTTATATTTACCCCAATGATACAAACCTATATTCCAAGGAGTGTTTCTTCAGGAAAAGTCTTATTACTTCCTCCTTTAGGTAGGGCAGAAATATGTCTCCTAGGAAGGAAACATTGATCATCACCCTTAACTATGGCTCTATGCTAATCTTAATTTATTATTTTTATTCATTAAATTTTTGTATCACCCATATCCCCTATAAGGCAACTCTGAGCAGCTTACAGATTATAAAAAGATAAATAGAAAAGTAATTTAAATATTAAAATTACACAAATTAAAAATTTAAACCATACCAAAAAACGAGAGTAAGGGATAGATGTCCCAGGGCTGGAGTCTTCGTACTCTGTCAACCATCTCTAGTGGTGAATACCTGCCTCGGAGATCCCAAGCCAACTGGCACATAACACAAAGTTGTGCAAAGGCCCACCTAGCCACAACTACCAACTTCTCTTTGAGCAGGAGTCATGAGTTCAGGAGGAGCCCCCAAGTTGTGCACCAAATCTGTCTACGGTAGTGCAGCCCCATCCAGAGTTACGGTTATAAACCACCAGATCCACAGTCATTCCATCTTGCCAAGGTTCAGCTGAAGCCTGTTGTCCTCCATCCAGACCTTACACCTTCTAAGCACTAAGAAAGGTCAGTAGTCACAGCATCACTTGGATCACCAGAAATAGAAATGTAAAGCTTTATATCATTAGCATACTGATGATATCTCATTCTATGTTGAATGATCTCACTCATCAGTCTCATGTAAATGTTAAACAGGGTTAGAGAGAGTATTGAGTCCTGTGGCACCCCACAAAGGAGTGGCTGTGGGTTGGACCTCACGCTCCCTATCCACACTAATTTGGACGAGCCTTGGAGAACTGAGTCAAACCAGTGCAATACTGTGCTACCCAGCCCCAAGCCCATAGCAGCCCAAGAGGCTACCATGGTCAATGGTACTGAAAGCCAGCAAGAGCAAGAGTGAATGCACTACCATTATCCTGCTGTTGCCATAGATCATCCATAAACACAACCAATGTCATTTCTGTCCCATAATCTGGTCTGAAACCCAACTGAAAGGGGTCCAGATAATCCATTTCATCCTGGGCTCTCTGGAGCTGTAACATAATCCCTTTTCCATCACCTTTGCTTAAAAGGGGAGGTAGGGAACTGGATGAAGATTATCCAGACAAGTGGGGTCCAATGAAGGTTTATTGAAGAGGGGGGCTGACCAAGGCCTTCTTAAATGGTGCCAAGAACAACCCCTCATGATGCAATATATTAATCACCACCTGAACCGACCTGCAGGTCAACATCTTGGTGGCTTTTACCAACCAGAAGAGACAAGGTTCGAATAAGCAGTAGTTGCATTGACATCCCCAAGGACCCTGTCCATTTCTTCAGATCCAACAGGATCACATGGTTCCCAGATAATTGGGCAAGTTCATTCCCTGGGCATCTCTAAAGGACCTGCTCCACGCTTGCTCTCAAACTTAGAGTGGATCCAAGTGACTTTATCCTTCAGGTATTTGACAAATTCCTCTGCACAGCCCTATAAGAGATCATTCAAGCCCTCCTTCCCAAGGAGGGACCAGATGACTTTGGATATTGCTGTCAGATGGTACGCTGCATATACGATGAGACTGGAGAAAAGTTTCATTGCTCTTACTGTATTGCCATGAGGCAGGCCTTAACTGCAACTCTGAACCTACATACAGTTGGATTCATTCTTAGTTTTCCCCCAGCAGCACTCTAGCCATCTTTTGGCCAATTAATCAGCCAAAGGAGCATGGGGCAAAAAAGTGCACAAGGATTCTTCATATCATATACACTTCTTCAAGATGTACAAATAAAAAATAATCCAAAATAAGGGTACAATTGATAGCCCCAAGGAACCTATCCGCTTCCTCAAGTCCAATATTGTCAAGATTACATGTCCACAACCTGCCCCAACTCTGCCTCATTCACCAAAGGCAGCAACACGGTTTCAGAATTAGCAGACAAAGTATCTAGTTGATGATTTGGGATGTATATGGATCTCTCTTCTGTGTCTTCTAGGTCTAGCTTGCTGTAGTACGTCTTAGACTGGTGAAAAAAGATATAGGAGATAAATTATATTAATTCCAGCTCTCTGTGGCTCACACCAGATCAGCACTTTCAGCCGGGATTAAGTCTTGGATAATAGATGCTTTATCAATAACGGCTCCGGCAGTCTTTTTTTCAACAACCTCCTACTTTGCCCATATTCCTTGCTGGTCTCATAGGAGACCTTTCATTTAGTTAGGTTTGATGTGCTGCCTTCATCCCTTTACAAGCACTTCTCTGTCCCTGTTGATTGGGGAAGCCAAATAAGTTGTTCATTTTTCTGCTGCATTGGCTATTTCATTCACTTCATTCATTCATTCATTCATTTTGCCTTTATCAACCAAATACCGACAGGAATTCAGAAGACAACTTTTTTTATACTTTTTAGTTGACAAGTCAAGGATGACTTCTAGGAGCATTATTGTATGTTTGTAATTGTAATTATTGTAATTAAATGCATGTTTAAATAGACAAAATATCTGTCCTACAACTTCTCTCTCATTACAAAGGGCAAG